CTATTAATAACTTCCAATAGTAAAATTTAAAAATTCGATCGATAAAAACGACAATAATCCTAATGATAATAATGGCTGTAGCAATTTGTGTGGAATGATGAATAGTGGTGTAAAATAGCCAACATTCGGTGTTGTAATCTCTAATCACCGGGTTAGTTGTTGAAGGGATTTGTTTTTTTTTCTATAAAGTAGTTTCCACTGCTCATCGACATCAGGATGTTGAGATGAAAATTCTTAAAGTTCGGTAGAGTCACCTCAGATTACAATCAATGAACTTTTCCATGGGTGATCATAGAAAGTAGTCTCTAATGTTGTAAGTTTACCACAGCTGGAAAGCATTACCTCTAGCTTGAATTTCTAATATCTGAGTAGAATTTCAATCAAGAACACGACATCTGAATGTTGTGTGTGTTAATCCCTGTTGGAGATGCAGTTGAACACCGTTGAAAAGTTATTTGTGTTTAGGAAAAAGCAGCTGGCTAGTTCAACTTGCTTTAGGATGCCTTTATAGCTGACAGTGAACACTATGAGTGAGTCTTTACTGTTTAAAGACAAGTGAGTATTCACTTGAATACACTTTCCTAGATTTGGTTATTTATAACAACAATATCCATAAAATGTATTGATAGTTAGGTAAAAGGGGTTTCAAATGACGGTTTATGTATAAACCTGTTACTTTCGTATCAAACTGAGCGTCAAATGAGATTTTAAAATGTACTCTTCGATTAATATTGAGTGGCCTGAGGCAAACAGGCGAAAACAGACATGGGTCATGTATTTGTTGGTAGTCATTAGTAAGACGATTCTGCAGGGTAGAGGAATTTATTTCCTCTTACAGATTTCAGCCAGCAAAGAAACACAATTTACTTGGTGGCCCGACGAAAAACGCTCTACTGTTTCAAGTGATCGTACGGGTTTGAGTCTGAGTGAGAAAACATCGCTCTCCGGGTAGTGGGTATTTCTAGCTGATGAGCTGCAAATAGGACGGAACTCGCATTTTGGATTCCACTCCTAACCACTAGCCATTATTGACCTTGTGCATATTCGAGGACAAGGCAGGCTGCCATACCAGCTGTTTGAGGGCTGGTGATATTGCTTGACTGACAAAACCTTGGTAGGTGGAACTTTATTCGAACTCAGTCTACTGGTTAAAAGTCAACTGATTAAACCAACGAGCCACAACTCTCCAATTCCAGGGTACTCCAGTCAGAGACGATACTGGTCAGCTATTCAGGTCATGCTTTACATCTTGTATGACAAGATTAGATATACTGATGTAAAAACGTCACAAATGAAATTAAAATTGACCTATATCACTTTAGTGTTCAGACCAGCGGAAGCTTCCTAAGTATCAGCACTATGTCCCATCAACTGAACTATGAAACCTAACCGGTGGGTTATTAAAGTAAAACCAGAATCCAATCACCCTTACGGACTCCTACTTAAGTCGGTTGAACCTTGTGTCAGTAAATAAGATACCACTGATTTGAACAAAATGATAAACAGATTTCAAAATTATTTTAAGGCGGTTAAATCGATAAACTTTATCATTATGTATTAATTGTGCAAAAGCTGGAGTAAAATTGTCATCAAATAACTACTTACTTTATTTTGAATTCTACAAAATAGTTCTTAAGGAGTCAATAAACTAAGATATAGTTTAGCATTACTATTTGATACTAAATGAAAGCAAGTGCACTCTAGCTATCTGTTTAATTCCTGTTTAGGACACTTCAGTAGTGTTCGACCTTGGATTTCCTTTTATAATTACACGTTTTCAAACATTAATTTGTTTCTCATCCAGTGTGACTATGCATTACTATCAGCGCTATCCATTCACATTGTCGATTGAATTAATCCCCTAGGTGATAGGATTTAGTAGGATTTTAGACGACTAATCTTAAGTGATTTGCTAGTCTACTTTTTTTATTTTTAGACTGAAATGTGAAAGTTTGAGCTCTTTACTATCGAAATATTAGATAAATGTTGATATGTTTAAACTGTGACCTTGGGACTCTAAGCTTTAGCTTATCAGAGGTCACGAGTAGGCTATGAAGAGCCACCTAATACTGAGACCAGATATACTTCTAGTGCTTTCTTCTTTTCACTGTTTTCCCAACTAATTACATACTATGGTTTATTATGATAAGTAGGTTCTGTACTTTATCACTTCGTAAGACCGATTTAATGAACTGACTCAATGTTACAAAAGTATTTACTATGGTTATTCACAATTATTTCCACCTATTTGTAAATAAGAAATTATTAGATATTCTGCATTTAGGAAGCAAAATATCTGAGTAGAAAAAGCTGTTACATTATTTTAAACAAGATGAGTCCAACAAATAATCTCATAGAGCGACAAAAATCTTGACATTGAAGCTTGAATTCAACGGTAGATGATAAGAGGTTGATTAAAGAGTGTCATACAGTCTCTACATCAAAGTTTACACCGTAGCTGTTAATTTAAACAACTTGATGTCTCTGTAGCCATAGTCTGTCTCAATAGCCTCACCTTGAATGGATGAGGCTAAAAGTCATTCCCAGATGTTATAGCGTTCTGTGTAAAAATGAGTATTTTGTATGTTCTTTATTCTGATATTTTTGGGTGAAGACTGCAGTTCCAAATCTTTTTCTGACATTTGAAACCTTAGTTAACTTATTTTAATTTGTGAATATCATTTTTTACAAATAACTGCACTTACTTTCCATCTAAGAAATGAGAGTGAAGCCAATTACTTTGCACACAGGTAAACGATATGAAACATGGTTCAATGATCAACAGCTTTTTAAATACTTTTCAACTAGGTAAAATACGCATACAGAACTCATAAGATATACATTTTCATGCAGAATGCTATAACCTACCCATAATAAGTACGGTAAAACCTGGAGATAACTTTTAGCTTCTCCTCTAATCAAAGTACTTAGGGGATTAGATTTACGCGCGAAGAACAAATTAGTTATTATGTAAGTAACAACTAAATAATCAGCTCAGTCAGACAAAAATATAGCTTTGCATAAGCATAGCAACTTGATTACCTTCAGGAAAACCTGAAAAATAACAATGAAATTCTACTGAATGGAGGAGGTTTGATCGATGTCAAAAGACGGCAAATTTATAATGCAGTGTATATTATTTTCAATAAAGTTGAAACAATTTTATGTAGCGCTTGATTTAAAAACACCTTAAGAATTAAAACACGATAATTTATCGAAATTATTAGTGATCCTATCAAGTTTCAATCATATTTATAACAAGAAAGATTTTAATGTATGCACTTATTACCTAGATTTATGATCTCAATATCCTATCGAAATCATTGGTACTATCATCATCATCATCATCATCATCATCATCATCATCATCATCATCATCATCATCATCATCATCATCATCATCATCATCATCATCATCATCATCATCATCATCATCATCATCATCATCATCATCATCATCATCATCATTATCAACATAGGACCAGGCATTACTGCGTAACGGTCCGAGTTGCCACACCTCATATCAGCACATCAAATAAAAAGATAGTGAGGCAAAGGATGAAGATAAGTGAATGCAGTCAAGAGAAATATAAAGTACGAGAAGAAAGGAAGGAGGAGTGACAAAATGGTGAGATTCGGTATAGTGTAGTTAAGATGAGGATAATGTGTGTATACATCTGCGCCACTGACTTCGGTTCTGAGCCATATCATCTAGGGTCTCCAACCACTGGTTCCTCTTGTCCCGCGGACCCCAACCACCTAGTCTGCATCGTCCTACATGGCTTAAACCAACAGTCAGAGACTTCATACATTGGTGTCATTGGTACCGCACATGGTTATGTGTGTACTAGACACTGAAGAATGACTATTTTAATGTACAGTGGAAACAAAATTGACAAAAAAATTTGATTCACTCAATGAATCTCAGAACTTAACACTTTCTTTTGAGTATTGTTTTGAAGGTGGTTTTCAATTTGTAGGTAAACGTTTCAATATTAAATTATCTAAATCAGAGGACACCAATACAATAGTAGTCAGTAAAACATTTTCAGTATTATTTTTGAATTGTACTACTTTTCAGTTGGAGTCAATAATGAAAATAACTAACTGAATAAATGTTGAGGTGTGTACACAAGTAAACAGCTGTCGACTGATGATCGATTTAATCCTCTATTCTATTTCCATAAAGAATAAGTCACCACAATACATATAAGCCAGTTAAAAGATCTTCAAGTCCACCTACACTTTCTTCTACATACATTTAATAATTAATAAAATAGTCTTGAAGTTAATTAGTACGAGTAATTTTCATTGAACAAAATGCATCTGTTATCAAATAAAAAAAAGGTTTAAGACAAGTGTTTTATTGAACGAATTAATGGACTGTATAGACTATGCATAGAACCTGTTTCTTTTCCAATTTCTCGAGTAAACTGACATTTACTATAGTAAGATTTACAATGGAAATGTATCAGCCTCTTGCAAACAAACAATCAAAGTAAAACAGAAAAAAAAAACAAATACCTATGGTAACATTAGTGAATGAAAATCGAACTGTTATTCAGATTATGTATGCTTGTTTGTAGTTAATCGGGAGAAGTAACCAAATTTACCAATTTCATATTTCTATATGCCTTGTCTTCCTTCTACTACTAAGAAAGAGACATCTGTGTGTGTGTGTGTGTGTAAATAGTGAATATGAACAACACCAAATTATACAATGTACAATGTTCAACAGAACGCAAGGATCAAGGGAAAAGTAAACAAACAAATAAATAGAATGGCTATCACAACTACGTAACCTAGTGAATTGTGCTATCTTATTTGAAGCGATGGTTTCTTGGCTCGAGTCTCACTGGGTACCTCAGATGAAATGAAATCTGAATCTTCAATCGCACAGTTAGTCTATATCCAACATTATTATCAAACGGTTTATTAAGAAGGAAAGGAAGTTTTTCAAACAATTTACGAAATGAAAAAGGAAATATGAAATCACTCACTTCATCACCCATCATTTGATCTTCAAAGCAATCAGGTGAATATATATCGCATTGTTTAGCAGCACCTTCTTCTCCAGGAAGGATATAAAAATCTTCAATGAAACCCTAAGAGAAAAGAATATGGAGTTTGATAATCTCTTTATCTGTTATTCTATGAAAACAATATATTCCTCATTTTTATGCAGTGTAGGTGTTTCTTTTCCCAACAAGTCTCATAAATAGTATATACCCACAATTCAATCGCCTTCCATGGTGGAATCATTGGTATTCAAACTACTGGGCTAGGGTGAATCGAATGACACATTAAATGTGGAAATACATCAGCATGATTACAAAATCTTGAGCCTATCACAGTGAATTTTATTTTTATATCACCTAAACCAGCTAAGAGTTACGATAATTTGGTTGGTTGTGGCTAGCAGAAAAACCCACGTCGGCTCGTTTCCTCCTGCCTGGGACTCGTCAGCTCGATATTGTTTACACTGAGACTCGAACCTCGTACGAATCGCTTCAAATACCGGGGCGTTATTCACTATGCCACACAGGAACGACAGCTGTTTCTGCACAATGGCTGATAGTTATTACTATTTATTAACATACTTATTATTCTCCGTTGTTTTGTTAGGTTGAATTGTTCGACCTCTATTGGCCTATGGGCTGTGTCGCCCGTTGTACAAGAAGCTGCTACCGTTCGTCTGTGGCACAGTGGATGACGCCCTGGCGTTTAAGACGATGTGTACGAGGTTCGAGTCTCAGTAGGAACAGGACCACCCACTGGAATGCAGGTACATCCAGCTGAAGATTCCCAAATAGGACGAAACGCACGTCCTGGATCCTTCTGCTAGCCACAACCAACCAAATTATCATAATTAACATTCAAGAAATATCGAGGCATCCACATAGGAGCCCATATGCCAATAGAGGTCAAGTAATTCGATCCACCAAAACAACGGAGAATAACAAGTATGTCAATAAATAGTAATAGCTGAGAATTGTTTTCCTTACTACTTAGAATGAGATGAACAATTTGCATAGACAACAATATCGGTTATAGCAGTGTTGCATGTATTAAATTGATTTTCAATTGAGACAAAATGCCTCTCTGAGTAAAATTGAGCATGGTACCGTCAAATAGTTTAACTAAACTCAAATAAATATGTTATATGGTTGAAGTAGCAGGTATCACCTTTCAGTTGTTGACAAGCTGAATTCGTGCAAACATTTTGAGATTTTTTCATATACCCTAAAACTTTATTTTACTTATTCATTAAATTCAGCAATTATTGGACTAATGTATTGTTCAAGTTTGCTATTTTTTAGCACAGAATAGTTTCTTTTGTTTACCAGATCGAATTAAGATTTGTCAAAGTACAACTTGTCATTATTCTATAGTATACTTCTAAAATAACTGCTATATCTCTGAAAAGATCATTCGTTTCCTTGAAAAAGAGAGTAGTTATTCATAAGTTAGAAGACTGACAACATATAAATTTATGTAATGAATAAACACACTTTGTCTTTCAATGATACTCTACTTTCAGGGATAGCCATACTGAAATAAGAAAGTTAAGCGAAAACATGTACCCAGAGAAGCATCATTATACCAATATTTATGAGTAAAACTGTGTGGGATTCTCATCAAATCAAATATAGATGCCTGAATAAATTAGTATTGGACACAATTTTAGTTAACTAATCTAGTAACAATGTTTAGAATCCACACTTTATTCGCAGCCATTGACTAGCTAGAATATACAACCCAATTAGTGATAAAATATTAGAGAAGTGGTTGTCTTACACGCTACTCAAGTTTCAACTAGTATCATGCCTAGTTGGACTGAAATGTATATGCTTATGAGAAACTAATTATCCTAATAGTTACACGATTACTATGTCAAAAATCAAGTTTTTGTTTCCTAAAAACTGCTGCTGGTTTACGCCCCTCTAGAAATAACTCTAACCGTTAATATTTTTAAAGTTTACTGAGTAAAACTTGAGTTTGTCTTGTCAGTAGATTCTTGCGCCTTCTGCGTACCACTTACCTTTTGGTAGTCCAAACAGCCCTAGAATCTTCCTGATTATTTTCACTTTCAATATTTTAATTTCTTTTCCTTATATTCAAGATTGTCATTGTCTCCCACACTGTTTCAGTAAGATAAGTCGAGGAGGGAGCCGTTAAACAATTCATTTCTATGACCAATCCTGACGTCAGAGATCTAGTACTACGCCACTGAGCAACACGAACAACCGTACATTTTTCAGCAGTACGTTACGGCCCACTAATTCGATTGTTGAATATTCTTTCTCTTAGCCGTATCCTTAACTGAGGCATATATCAAGTAATATATCTCAGTGGAAAAGAACAATGACGGCTACTTATTGGCATGAAATACTAGAAGGTAAGAGATTATGATTTACAGCTGTATGCAGATATTGCACATTACTTGTCATCACTGAACTATTCTTTAATAAACGCGAGATAACTTGCTCTTGATTCACAATAAAGTAGCCACTAACTACTCCGATAGGAATTGATAGTAAACTAATTTATTCTAAAACCACCACACCATATTAATTTAATCAAGCAGTCGTGTTTTGCGTCTAGATTGAGACAAACACATATATACGTGTTGTGGCTGCGTACTGCTGAGGAGTCCCATACTAGGACGAAACAGCTGTCCAGTGCTCCCAGATTTTCAATGGTTCCTCAACTGATGTCAGTCCATAATGAATACTACTTCTAAATTAAAAATCCCCATTCATCTCAAAAATATATATACGTAAGCTGTCGTCTCAGCATCCACTGTGCATCCACAGTTCATCCTTGGGAAACTATTCATTAACTTGTTGGCATACACTCTAGAATGCCCTCAATAGACAAAATCAAATCTCTTACTGATGATGCCTTAAATGAAGAATTTTCAAAAGCTTACAATTGTTTGTGTTTGAGTTAAGGTGCTCATATCTTCAAACTTTGTATCTTCATTTTAGCAAAATTGTAATGAAAAGTCATATAAAACATATGGAAACTGAAACAGCCCCTACAGAATCATGACAAAGCATTTCAAAGGAAAGTAACTTACATGAATTCCATCTTTTAATATTTGTATTCGACCCCTGTTATCAATGCTTGCTGATGAACGATTATAGTGTACCGATTCGCGTTGTTTACAATCGACCAATAATCTTGCAGTTGTGGTACCAATACTGACTGCTACACGATGCCATCTAGATAAGGTATTATATTATTTTATAGAAAACTTTTGCCAGCGTATATATATATATATATATATATATATATATATCTTTTAAAGATATACTATGGATTAGGATGCCGTAAAAGAAAGCGGTCGTGAAATGATACTCTTTGCTTATTTTGAATACGAAGGGATATGCTCCACCAAAAAGTCTTCACTTTGGAAAGCCCTCGATACTTCCACCTGCGCTTATCATTTCAAATGCGTTTGCGGAAGGTAATATATAGGTTGTAGCGACAGGAAGTTGTATTCACTTATGGTTGAGCACTTGCATGAATATTCAGAGCATTCTTAAAATAAGACCGGAACAGGCTGAATTCAGGAAGTACAAATCATGTGCGGACCAAATTGCAACGCTTCGCATCATCATAGAACAGAGTACAGAATAGCAGTCAACTCAACTCTACCTCAGCTTTATCGACTTTGAGAAGGCCTCTGACAGCGTCGACCGAGAAGTAATTTGGAAACTGCTTCAACACTACGGAATACCGCAAACCTTTATCAGCCTCATTCAACAACTATATGAAGATGCCACATGCCAAGTGATCCACAATGGAAAGCTCAGTGATGCTTCTGAAGTGAAGACAAGAGTGAAACAAGGTTGCCTACTATCCCCAATATATTCCCGATTATGGTCGACTCGACTGGATCATGCAACAAATAGTGAGGAGCGAGAAGATGGGGAGACGCTAGCTGGACCAATGAAAAGACCTCAGAAGATTTGGATTTTGCCGATGACTTGTGTCTGATGTCGCACAAACTCGAAGATCTACAGGCAAAAACTAACAAGTTGACAGAAGAGGAAGAACAGCAAAAACAGGACTTCTAATGAATGTAGAGAAGGCGAGGTGACGAAGATACCCAACCAACACCACCACCATCACCACCAACAACAACAACAACAAACTCCAATCACCATCAACAGGAGAAACTTAAAGGAAGTAGCTTCTTTCACCTACCTAGGCGAGGCAGCATCACTTCAAATACAGGCGGCACGGACGAGAACGTCAAAGCAGCCAGCATCGAAAAGACAGCAAGATAGGTGTTCATTAACCTGAAATCAGTGTGGAGATCTACAGCACACTACACTACACTACACTACACTCAATATAAAGCGTGAACAACATCCGGATTTTCAACAGTAATTCAGTCAAATCAGTGATTCTATATGATGGCTGAGAGACTTGGCACGTTATGAAAAGCATTTACAACAAACTACACACATTCATCAACAACTGCCGCCACGCTGGCTCGTTACTGAGGCTCAGATGGAATGCCAGAAAGAATAAGTAGCAAGGAACCCTGACTGTCTGACAACGAATCAACCAAGAATCTATCGCTCAACAAACATGCAGAAGGAAGTAGAGATGGATTGGATTGGGCATAGACTGAGAAGACCGACTGGGGCATCACGCGTGAGGTCAGGTACTCGAGTGGAAGCCAGATGGGAAACGACGAGTTGGGTGTCCCGACTGAGGGTGAGATGGAGGAGATGGTGTGAGGAAGAAATGAGGGCTTGTGGGCTGTCGTGGAGCGATGTTCAAAGGACTGGAGAGAATAGAGTGGAATGGAGACGTGCTACTGAATCCCTATGTTCCATTAGTAACCCAAGGGACAAATAATGATAATAATAATAATAACAAAATAAGACACTGAGAGGCTCTATAATCCAATCTCTCACATTCTGTGGGCCTGATAAAAGAATAAGAGTTTTTCAACAATTCTAGCTGGAAGTGTCATCTACCAAAAATAACCTTCTTTTTCTCTTCACTTCTTCTATGTATACTTTTATAAATTGCCTGGTTCTACGTTGAACTTTGTGTTCTTGTGCCTGTTGATATCTTCTTGGCCATACTTATGTGACGATAAAGTCCATATCATTTACTTTAATACCTGGATTATGAAGCTTGTAAGCGTTACAAGATAAAAATTTAGTTGGTTTTAAGATTACAGTTGAACTAATGAGCTGAATGATTTGGATAAATGATAGTCTATATTTAATCACTAAACTAAGATTTATAAACAAACAGACACCAACAATCATCGAGGCAAATAATGTTATACTTTAGATGTAAAAAGGAAATATAATTGAGGAAAAATCAAGAAGCATTAAACATCTTCTCCTCAACAGTATTCATCTTATAACCTCAGGGAGGACTATCATTTGTTTTCCCAGAGATAAGTATTCCACTTCCATCGGGGTGTAAATATATAAACCAGAGGTCAATATTCTGCTAAATGCTACCGGTTTGAAACAGGACTACAATTAAATATTACTGAATTTCCAAATATTCAGTTTTAAATGAATATTATGAAATAGAATTTGTTACAAACAGTAACAGTAACAACAACAACATCCATGACGTACAATCCATCATTGAGATGAGTTTTGAAAATTGCTTTCTCCAATATTTTTCCTGAATATGCCTTAAAATCACGTGGATGAGTGTTAAGAAGTTGATCAAGTTGTGATTCTTTTGATAGATACTCAAGTTGTATATGTGTACCAAATGTTAAGCGTAAAATCATTCGTCCATGACGATCAAACAAAGTGAATAACTCATTTTCCAGATCAGATTCCAGTCGCACAGTGAACAAAATTGAAAGATCAGGTGGAAAAGAATCTATGTACAAAAATATATACGTAAGGTTAAATACATGACAAAATAAAACATTATCTGATATTACTTACATTTATCATAGTTTGACACTTTACATATGAAATTTTCTTACAGTTGAACAAACCACTAAGAAAATACATGATGACTACTTAAATGTGTGTTTCTTCAAGTAGCATCAATGTAGATAGCAGAAAAACTTTTGATTTGAGAATGTTAGCTGTTTGGCATTCTACAGACTACATCTATATGAAGGTAGAGGTTTGCTGTCATCGGACCAGATGGCTTAATCATCACCTGCTAGAAAATGAACTAATTACATATTTTGCAGATGATTTGAATACATGAGAACCCTTCATAACAGTGTATGAGTAAAACTTGAGCTGTATACGGTAAATTATCACTTCATACTGATCAGATATTTTTTGTTGGATAGAATTTTACGCACAATTTATTGCCATGATCACATCGTAGTTATCACATGACTTTCAAACTCTTATTTTATAATTCCACAGTTTCTGAGTTCTTTATTTTTAGTAATATAGAAAAATCGAAGTTTCTGCAATATGTTCCATGCTTCTGGAGTTGATTTGATGAACAGTGTGACTAAGTTTTGATACAAATGATTGATGGTGGTTAGCAGTGGATTTTGGGCGCACGTCCTTTTCTATTTGGGACTGATTAGCTGGATATGAGCGATGTTGTTCCTAATAAGACTCATGACTCGGTAGCCAATGTGTAACACTCTGGTGTTTGAAGCGGTCCGTATCATGTTCGAGATTCAGTGTGAACAACATCGCTCACTGAGAGACAGGTACATAAAGCTGATGGACCTCAACTAGGACGAAATGCACGTCCTGGATTCCACTGCTAGCCACCATATATAACTAATATCAAAGCTAAAACGATAGGCAATATCGAAGCATCCCCACAGGAGCAAATACCAACAGAGGTTGGTCAATTCTGTCCAACCAAAGACGGGATAGTAAAAGCAACATCACATTGATTAAGTTAGTTTATAGTTGTATCACCGCAGCTCAAGTGTAATTAAGAACTACCACCATATCCAGCCATGTAATATAATTGTGAACTATTATAAGCGTAGCGATAGCCGGGTTCTTTTGTACATTATTTATCTTAATACGGTCTGTCATTTTATATTTCGCTACATGTTTGCGCTCCAATATCCTGACTGATATCAGAGTCAAGAAGTTGACCATTGAGTTGGTCAAGCTATAAATAACTCTCCATATTTGTTAAAAAAAGCCAAAATTTCAGACTGTGATAACTCTAAGAATCTGTATGGAAATGCTGTTAGATAAACTAATCAAATAAGTAAACTTACCAAGAACTAAAGTTCGGCCTTCAACATAAAGACTCAATCCTCGAGGTACGGAATAAGCCACTTGTCTTTCCTCATTGTTTGATGATGTCTCCAAGTCATTTAAACTCTGGCGACATCGACCAAGTGAAGTTTGTACATAAGCTTGTTCACCAAGTCGTACAGCTCTTAATATATCCAGTGTACCTGGAAGAACAAAAAAAAATATTTAATCACTGCTAGAAATTGGTGATCAGTAAAATCTGTCAGCAATGAACAGTTCTTTGGTTTCTCAACGATTTGCACTTTTTAGTTTTTGAATGAATAAATGCAAGATTATGAGGTCAATCAACAGTGACAGCAGACTTTGGGCAACAAGGTCACATTCTACTGTTTATTTCCAGTTTCAAGAAAAATGATTACTGTAAAGTATGGCCCACTCATTCATGTCATATGCTTCCCCATGAATACAGAGTTATTCGTAAATGTTGGAATCTGAAAGCCTTTCTATTAAGGCATATCTTATCAACTCTAATTTATTTCATTGGACTGCTTCTTCGAGTGTCGTTACCTAAACTACTCAGAAATCATGCGATTCCATTGGTGGGTGGTAGGATCCACATAAATTCAGCAGTTTTACAACATATTTATTGCACATTAATTAGTTTTTACCATAGGTTGGTATAACTGGTTGGACAATAACTGAGGAGCGCTAAACAGTAAAATGTTGATCCACCTTTCTTTCCGAATTATTCAACATCACTATCTGAATTCTCAAGAAAGTTTACAATACAAAATGAAAAATGTCTACACAAGCTATGGCTTAATATGAAGTTCATATGTAAAGCACCCCTTGTGTATTGTGGACCTGTACTTCACTAACTGTAACAGTTTTCAAAACTAATCTAACGCGTTAAGTGGTAGCAAAACTTCACATAGATAAATATGGTTTAGAAACCTTAAAGGTAAATTCCTCTGGTGTACATATTATGAAGTTTAGAAACATATAAATGATTTTACCTTAATCTTTACACTTGTGAGTTCAGGAATTAATCACCAACGGGTAAGACATCCCATCTTTTAGTACTCAGGTCTGAGCACTGTTTGAAGTCTATCCACCGAGTTTTACAATGTGGCTACTAAGCTAAGTGGTGCAATACTGAAGTGCATTATATTTCGGTGTTAGACCCAAGTAATCAGTTGTTGGGAAGCCCATTATAACCGAGATTTCGTGGTTATCGGTACTCATCAGCAAAGCATATCTGCAACAACGAAAAAATCGGTGTTTTCTAGATAATTCAAGCTTATGTCCGTTAGAATACGGCTCAAAGATGTACATCAAGTGACGCTTACAACAAATTTAATAACTAAGCATACCTTTTTATTCCATAAAAATTTGATTTTCCGGACGAAATAGTTCAATCTATTTGGTTATTTCAGTAGTTGCCGTGGTGGCCTTTAGAGTCACTTATATATGTCAAGTTAACCGCTACACCTGCTCCTAGCCTGTAAACCACCATATTTTTTATAAACTGGGTTTCAGCTTAGAAATGATGATACGAAGACAAGACAAATCTTTGAATATCTTCTAGGAACTGGAATCATTTCAGATAAAATTACAAACAGCATCGAGTAAAGGTTTTTCTATACATTTTGTTTCCTAAGTCATCGAAGACGCATGTCTTCAGTCAGAAGCTGTGAGCCTTACTGAAATTTAATGATCAGCATTTTTTCAGTTTCAGTAGTTCATTTAAGTGTTATGTAGATTTATAACTGATTTATTATTATATACATGACTTTGAACAAAAGTTCATAAGAATTTACTGATATTAGAATAAACCTGCTTGTTTTTTTCGATAGGTTGCTGTCGAGAACTGGTCGGTACAAGGAATCTTCTCATAGAATTACTTCAGGTGAAGAGTTACGAACCATTGGGAACTGCGTCCTTATTCCTCAGAATTCCAAAGTCTTTGTTTGGATTCTCAAGACCATCTGGAATTCCATATCTTTGGGGAATTTCGAAGTATACCGAAACAATTAGACAATGCACTGGTTATCTAAGCGATACCAGCTAGTGACAAAAAGCGCAAAGTATCTATTTAAATAATGTGTAAATAACAGCGTGTTTCAAGCTTCACAAGAAACACTACAAACCACCAGTCACAACGCAGGCAGACCCAGTGAAACATGTGACCTATACATCACAGTTAGCCACCATTGAACAAGTACAGTAAAGAAAATAGCCCTATTCTAATTTGTTTTATTCGGTCAATTTTCACCACAGTATAAACAGTTTGAATTTTAGGGTAAAGTTTATCCAGTAACCTTCATACTAATTTCCAAGTTTGTGAAAAAAGACCACAACACTGAAAAAGCAGTTGCATTCAAACCACAGGGACAAGTATGAATTTTAACTAAACATAGAGGGTAGAGACTGAAAAACGTTTGTTGTGGGATGTCTACGTCAAAATTCGATTCTTTTTCTTCCCAAGAACGAAACTGATTTTCATTTGAAACAATCGAACCTTTTTTTTCGTGTATACGCACTTCTTTTCTTCCTATAGAAAGTATAATAAACTACGAGAACTAACTAATCCTAAAATTGGTTTATTTATACCTGTAATTTTCCGTTTTTATTCTTAATCGACCTGATCGACCTCTGTCAGTATATGGTCGCCACTTTTAGCCACTATCAAGTAAATTAACCCTTGAATATCTTACTAATGACATTTAGATTCCCGACGGAAATTATAAAAATAAATGATGGTTTGAAGATCGGCCAAAATACTACTGATGTAATGAGACGGAGAAGAATGTTCATTATGACATTTTGTACCTTACTTATGGAATATGGTACCTTTCCACTGAAATGTTCATTCGCACAATATGTTTCGTTTCCCCTTCTTCTTCTACCTCGTTTGCTCTTCATACGCCCACACTGTCTCTTACGTTTCTCTCTCCAGAATATTTACCCCTTGTTCTTAATTACTGATGATTTCTTCTCACCTCTCACTATATACTTCTTATATCTATTCTAATCAGTAGCATCCATTACACTGATACAGAAAACAGAAATGCCACTGAGATATTTATAGATGTAACATTGTTGGGATAATTATCGTATTGCGACAAAATGTAATTTGTCAATTAAAGCTGTTTTGTTCGGCGCTTGATCATATTACTTAATAATTATAAGTAGTAAAGCTTAATAGGAAGCAAACCTAGTTCATAATTGTTTTTCTCGATTTAATATGAAATGAATAAGTGGTCAAAATGAATGATTGATACAGACTGGCATCTACTTATCTGTTATTCTTTTATAGAGAACTGAACAAAGTGTAAACACTGTTAATCACTGAAGACATGTAAGCAGGGCCAGTTGGTTAGGACTGATTATGTGCAATGCCCATTAAGTTGAACTTAATTTGTCATCCATAACCAGCCAGATCATTTTGCCAACTACAATTATCCTATGTAGTTTGATCAATATCAAATTAGCTGAACCACTTAACATCACCTTTAAACTAGAGTGAAATAAGAAGAGTTGACTGGATAAAGGTAAAAGCCATTTGAATGACTAATGCGTAACTTTCTGTTTAAGAAAAACTCTTCATGACTGATAGGACAGTCAAAGTGGATTGGCAACTGGGTTTGGGAGTGATTCATTGGTGATAATGAAATCTTTCGTTTGAATCATACTGTGGTTCAGGTTCTCCTTCAATGCCATCGTGGATGAAACTGTCTATCCGGCATAAAAACCTACTATACTGATGAGCCCAGTACCAAAAACCAGCACTTTTACAAACATTCGTTTCAGAAACAGAGAGATATTTTACTGTGTGACAAAATATAGCCGATAGTAAATCATGAATCAGTCAGGTATATTGGTAAGTCGCGTGACTCATGATTGGGTAGTGTGATTAGTCTACACTTATAGTTTGTGTTCTGCGATAAGGTAACAACTGTCATTCATAGTTTTCAATCGTGGTCTGTTATAGCTGCTACTTTATTGGTAAGCTGATAGTTAAACTAATTCATACGAGTCCATTACTACTATTATTATATTATTTGTCCCTTGGGTTACTAATGGAACATAGGGATTCAGTAGCACGTCTCCATTCCACTCTATTCTCTCCAGTCCTTTGAACCTCGCTCCACGACAGCCCACAAGCCCTCATTTCTTCCTCACATCATCTCCTCCATGTCACCCTCAGTCGGAACACCCAACTCGTCGTTTCCCATCTGGCTTCCACTCGAGTACCTGACCTAACGCGTGATGTCCCCAGTCGGTCTTCTCAGTCTATGCCCAATCCAATCCATCTCTACTTCCTTCTGCATATTTGTTGAGCGATAGATTCTTGGTTGATTCGTTGTCAGACAGTCAGGGTTCCTTGCTACTTAGTCTTTCTGGCATTCCATCTGAGCCTCTGTAACGAGCCGGCGTAGGCAGCAGTTGTTGATGAATGTGTTTAGTTTGTTGTAAATGCTTTTCATAACGTGCCAAGTCTCTCAGCCATCACATAGCAGCTCACTGATCTGACTGAATTACTGTTGAAAATCCGGATGTTGTTCACGCTTTATATTGAGTGTAGTGTAGTGTAGTAAAAGACTACTACACTACACTACACGGGAGAAACTTGAAGGAAGTAACCTCCTTCACTTATCTAGGAAGCACTGTTTCAACTACAGGCGGGACGGACGAGGACGTCAAAGTCAGAATCGGAAAAGCAAGACAGGCGTTCATTAGCCTGAAACCAGTGTGGAGATCTGCACTCCACTCAGCATGCGGAACAAGATACGGATTTTCAACACCAACGTCAAGTCAGTGCTCTTGTATGGTTGAGAACTTGGCGCGTCACGAAAGGCATTTCCAATAAACTACAGACATTCATCAACAACTGCTTACGCTGGCTCGCTGCTGAAGCTCAGATGGATTGCCAGAATGATAAGAATAAGCAACAAGGACTCTGGGAACGAACCAACCAAGAAGCTATCATCCAACAAATATGCAGGAAGAAGTGGAGATGGATTGGCCATGCACTGAGAAGGCCGACGGAGGACATCACGCGTCAGGCCAGTCCCTCGAGTGGAATCCCCTGGGAAGCGACGAGTTGGACGTCCTTGCCGAGGGTGACATGGAGGAGGTCGTGCGAGCAGGAAATGAGAGCTTCTGGGCTGTCGTGGGACCAGGTTCAAAGATCTCAGAG